ATTTTCAATTACTTGTATTTTTGAAAAACCCATTGTACATATTGATAAACATTGTTTTTTGTAAAGAAATAGATTTTTAGCAGAATCAATCATAAGACAACTTTTATTATCTCCTATATTAATTTATTTATATATATAATAATTATTAATTAATTATATGTGTATTTTATTTTAAATATAAAATAAATTATATATATATATATATATATATATATATGTATATATATATATATATATATAATATATATAGTATATGTATATGTATTTATTTTATATATGAATTTATAAAAACATTGTGGCTCTCATGTTTAACATTTATTATCACAAGCATCGCATGTTAATTCAGGATCTTTTTTAAAAAATCCATGAGTATAAGCAGTTATACATTTTCTTAAATATAAATAAGTTCCAAGCAATCATTCCATTTGTACATTTACATGTATTTTCTGACTAAATAAAATTTATAGGAAAAGTTAAACATTAATACTATAATTTAATTAAAATAGTAATAATAAAAAAAAACTAAATAAATATTATTTTAAATAAAGAAAAACCTCAGAAGGACCACTACAAGATGCACAAGTGTCAAAGCAAGTATCAACATGAACATAAAAATTTTTAATTCCAAAGGCTTGATCATTTCTACCATCTTTAACTATATCATTATAGTTATTTAACAAATAGACTACTTGCTCTTTGATCAGTTATATTTCGACTAAAAAATATTAGTTTATCTTTATAATATTTTTTACCAAAAGAATATCGATTTCCACATATAGCATCTCCTTCATAGTTTGACTTCTTATGTTCTCCTTATTAAATACCGTCTATAAAAATAAAAGCAGATTCATTATCTATACTTCCATATAGAAAAAGATCTAGTCTTACAGAAATACTCCAATGAGGTGGTAAATTATTAAATGTATTCATTAATTTATCACCATGTCCAAATAATCCTACTATAGTACCAAACTCTGCTAATGTATTGCTACTGCAACTAAATACTTTATTAGTATTCCATACTATTACATCAGATGATTTGAAATTTTCTTCAAGAAATTCATATGATATTATTTATTCTTCTATTTATATTTTATTTAATGAGTTATTTTTATGCTTTATTTATGTCTGCATTTAGTAAGATTATGTTTATTAAAAATATTAAATGATAAAATAATTTCTTGTTTAATTAATTTGTCATATTATCTGTATATATATTTTAACTTATTATTCTACTTTTTTATTTTAAATAAATAAAATAAACTAAAATGTTTATTAATTATTTATTGCGTATATACTTTTTATTTTAGTTTTATTATATATTTTTTAATAATTATAAATCTTTATTTTTTAATAACAAAGAAAAATGCTTTTTTTTTTTTAATTTATATAAAATAGTATTATTTAACATTTAAATTATACTTAAAATTCATATTTTGTTCTAATTTAGTATTTATTATATTTAAATATATATAAAAGACAAAATCTAATCATTTTTTTAACTTTTTATTAAAGGATAAATTAGTTACCTATTCAATAAGTTTATTAAATATATATAAATATGGTATATATGTGTTTTATGTAAAATTATTATTATTATTTTTTAACAAATAATATTTTTTTAACTAATTTAATTTTTAATTCAATGATAAACATTTTTTTTTCTTTTTTTTAAGAAAAACTTAATATTTCCTTTTAAATAAAAAATGTAGAAGTGATTTGGAAAATTCAAATAAATAGGATATTAAAAGATAATGATATTAAATTTAATCATTTCCATATTTTGCAATAAAAAAGCTTTGTTTTTGATAAAATCCATCTTTCATTTCTTCTTTTTAGTCTTAACACACTACTAATTTAATTTCAGAAAAAAGTAAATCATAATTCGATTAACAAACAAGAACGACCTCGACCTTGACTTCTTCCATATCCCATAATAATAATATATACCTGAATAAAAATAAGAAATTGAAGAAGATAAATGAGAACTGTGCAATAATAATATATTTCTTCTCCTCAAACTCTTTTAATTCAAATTCTTTTTTTAAATTCAGGATTATATTATAAAAGCGTAGATTCGGTAACTTTAATTTATTGAATTTTATTATGCTTATAGGACAATATTCATATTATCATTTTTTTAATAAAATTAAAGGCAGATATTAATATATAATAATATATATATACTTAATTAATTAATTGAACAAAGGAAAGACTTATAAAAAAGTCAATAAAAAATATTAAGAAGAGTAAATAAAAAATACACAAGATTTTATGTTTGATAACTAATTTATTAAATTATTTTTAATAATCAAATTATTAATACATATAAGTCTATATATAATGGTAAATATAAAAATGACTGTCATAAATTACTTATTTGTTATAATAGAAATGTTATTAATATAAATAGAATAAGTATTTTGATTTATGTTATTATAAATGCTATTTGTAATTTTATTTTTCTTTATTTGCATTTAATATTTTGTCATTTTTTTAAAAAATGTGGCATTTGCATACAAATATTATATAATAAGTTTATTTTTTTATATTTATTTTATTGATAAAAACGTTTTATTCATGAACTATTTTTTTTAATATAATAATTAAATAATTATATTTTAAGTAAATCAAAAATTGTTTTTATTTAAAATTTAAATAAATATTAGACTATATTATAAACTTATTGTTTTATTTTAAATATGGAATAATATTTTTTTTTTCTTTATAATGTTATATCAAAAAATATATAAGAAAATAAAAAAAAGCATTCTATAAATAAACAATAATTTAAATTTATGATAATAGATTAGTAAATTTTTATAATTTGCGTTTAAATATTGAAACCTTTTTAATAAATTAATTCATTCAAAGCAGCTTTGAAATGTGTAAATAAGACTATTTATAAAGTATTGATCTTATAAAAATTAAATATGAGCAGATCTGCCTATAAAGCTATCTATAGATCTTAATATTAAATAATTTATAATGAAATAAATTAATAAAATAAATATAAAAAAAAACTTTTCCTAAATAACAAAATTAACATCTAATCTTATAACATTTTAGTTTTTTAAATTACATAAAATTTAATTAGCCATTTAATTATATAATTCAGCTTTTCTTTAAAAATAAATATAATATTATTTTAATATTTATTTATTATTACTCACTAGTATCTTGAATTGATTAAAAACACTTTTGAATTCTTGCCGAAGAATAAGAAACAAAAGAATCTTAATAACTACTACACAAAATTACATTTTTAAAATAAGATAAACCCTTATAAACATAATTTTTTTTTATATAAAAAATTATAGCTTATTATTCTAATAATATTTTACATTTTATTTAGATAAATTAAATAAATAACATTCATTAAGTTAATTTTTATCTTATAAAATTAATTGTTTTAAACAAAGACTTTCTTTTTTGAATTTTATCATAGTCCATAAACCTTTGTAATTTAATATATATTTAGTATAAAAAATAGAATAAGTACCTGCATTTATTAACTTACTTTTCTAAAATAAATTCCCTAAATGAGGCGAAGAAAAAGAAATATAAGTATAAAATTTATCTTTTAATTAATCTAAATATTATATAGCATCTCTAATAATAACTCCTCCTAAAGAATGACCTATAAAGCTCAATTTCTGTAATTAATTTATATCATCAAAGTAAATATTTATTGATTCCAGTACTTCTTTAGCCAATCTTTTTCCCATTTCTGAAATATCACCTTCAGTTTGTTCCTCATTTATATTAGAAGAAATAATAATATGATCCCTATATCTTGATAATAAATTGCTTTTGATAGGCCTTAAATCATATCTATTTCCTTAATAGCCATGTACTAATATAAACATATGTTTTGTTATTTAATCTTTGAAAAAAGGTTTAATTTTTAAGTCATGTTTTTTATAAAGAATAGATTTCCTAAAAAATAATTGGACGATTTTCGGGTTTTATAAAATTAGAAACGTCTTATATATTGAAAGGCTAAAAATTTTAAAAGTAGTATTTTTTTCTTATTTCTGAAGCTATTTTTTCATTTAATATTCCTGTGTCCTTATCTTAGAAATTCGATAAATCTTGTATATTTATTTTTTATGAAAATATTATTTCTTTATAATATTATTCATTTTCTTTATTATATTTATTAATTAATTGTTATTCTTATATATTTAGGTTCTTTATTATTATTTCTATATAAAAATTCCATATTTATGATTTACAACTTGCTATATTATATATATACTTTATTTGTTTTATATATTATATTTTTTTATATTTTAATTTATTTTATTATTATTTTTTATAAAGAATACGTTTTCTATATCTTCTGGTAATTATTTAATATCTTTTTTTTATTTTAAATCATTTGATATATCAGAAAGAAGACCTTTATAATTATCAGCTTATTTTTTTTTTATTAATAACATATATATTATATCCTTATTTTTTATAAATATAATAAATTATATTTTTTATACTTTCTTATGATTTAATTTGTTAAATATAATCACTATTTTATTTCAAATCTTTACTAAAAAAAAGAAAATATAAATTAATATTAGTTTTTTTTTATTTACAATTATAAATAATTATTTTCAAAATCTTCTTAATGAATGTCAAGTTTAAAAATCTTTTATTTTTTATTTATTGTAATATTATTTTATATTAACTTCTTCTAATTTCTAATCATCTATTATTAAAGATTTTCGAGATTCTTAATATATTAGTTTTTTTAAATTAATGAAGCTATTATAAAAAGGAATAACATATTTTTAGTAAAACAAAATAACATCTTCTTCATTATCTAAGTTTCAAAAAAGTTTAATATATTTAATTATTCCATAATTTTTTTTATTTTTTTACATTAGTTTGTTATTATTTTTATTAAATTTTTAAAACTATTTATTTTATTGAATTCAGAATATTTAAACTTAATGTCTTTTAATCAATTAATAATAAAGATTTAATTATTTATGTTTTTATCATATTTATACCTATTAATGATGTATAAATAAATATATTGGCCTAAGATAATTGCTATTAATCAAAAATAGCTGGTAAAAATTCATATATTCCTTTATTTTTAAAAAATAAAAAATTAAACAAACAAAAAATACCATTTTCACTTTTGTGTATTATAGATCTAAATACAGAAACTTACTTAAAATAATTTTTTTATTTTCTTTATAATTTGTATGGTACAATTTAGCTACGAAATATAAGTTTTTTTATATATCGTTTGGATAGAAATCAATATTTCCACGAAACTAGCAAATATCATTTAATTATATATATTTATCAGAATATCTAATTATAAAGGATTTACTATAAAAGTATTAATCTTTAATATAACTAAATTATTAAAAATTATTTTTTATCAAATATATTATGGAATTTTAACAATTTTAATCATCTTATAATACTCTATATGGATAAAAATATTATCTTTGTTATTCTATTTATTTTAATTTTTTTTTTAAAAATATATATTTTTTTAAAACTTTTTGTAATGTTATTTTATTTAATATCTTCATTTTAATAATATATGCAAATTTTCAAATTATATAATCCTTAATTAAAAAGGTCAATATTAGTAAAAGATGAAATATTAACTAAAACATCTAAAATTCCATTTAAAGACATTTAAATTTTTTTACAAATTAATATTAATAAAAAAAAATATATATATATATATATATATATATATAATACTATTATATATAAATATTAATCATATATAAAACTAAAATTGTAAATAATATATTATAAAAACATAATATAAATATAATATATTTTTTTATTTTCATAAGTATATTTTATTTTATATATATTATAAATTTAATTAATTAGTTTTATTATTTTATAAAAAAAATATTATTTTTAAAGATTAGGTTTAATTTGAATAAATTTTCATTATATATATTTTTAAAAACTTTAGAACTATTTTCGAAAGGATAATAATTAATTTAGTTACTGTTTTTTCTTAATTAAAAATATAATTCCTAGCTAAAATATATTTTTCTTTTAATTTAAGTGATATTTAGTCTAATATTAAATTAAAAAAGTTTATTTTCAATAGATATTTTTTCTTTTAAATATTTTCCATAAAGTTTTTTTTTAGAAATAATTACTAAAAGATTTTGTTAATAAACTAATAATATATTTTTTACTTGAGTATTTATTATATTATTATTAATAATCTATATTTATTAAACATTTTTTTATTATTTTAATGACTAATTATATATTAATAAATATTTTTTTACTTTAAATTAATAAACTAATTTTTTATTTAAATTCAAAAATTTTATCATTATTTTTTATTTTTTAATTCTTTATTTATTTATATTAAATACGTAAATTATTTATAAATAAAAAGTTTAGAAATGTTAGAAATAATTTTTTTCAACTATATTTTATTATATATAAATATGTATATATACTTAAAATATAAATAATTTAATTTGTTTAATCTACTTCTCAACAAAAATATTTTATAAATAGGAATATAGATTTTAATTATATATAAATTTCTCTTCTATTTAATTATTTTCAAATATATTTGAAAATTTAGAAAAATAAGAAAAATGGTAGATAATACATTAAAAAACATGAACAAACAAAATATTTTATAAGTTAATGTTAATCTAACATTAATTTATAAATAATTTAAATTTAAAGAATCTTATTATTTTAATTTATATAAAAGTAATATATATCTTAAAAAAAAAAAATATTTTTTAGATTAAATCTAAAAATCGGATTTTTAATACTATTTAAAATTGTGTTATTAAAACAAAGTAGTATTATAATTATTAATCTTAATAAAATATATAATAATCGAAAATAAGATTAATATATTTAATATGAAAATATTCAGATTTTCTAATAAATAGTAGTAAAATAATGTTTTAGAAATTAAAAAAAAATATGTTACATAAAAAAAATAACAAAAAAATATAAAAATTCTAAAAATTATTATAAAATAAATAAAAAAAAAAAATATATGTAAAAAATTATTTAAAAAAAAAAAAAATATAAATAATATTAAAAAAAGCTATTAATTTAAGATTTGTATTCAAATTTATATAATGTATAATTTAAAAATAAAATTATTATTATATATAAATTATAAAATATAAAAAGAAAAATAAAATTATAAATAAATATAAATAAATATAAATAAATATAAATAAATACAAATAAATATAAATAAATATATATAT